TTTATAATAATAATGATTTATTAATTTTTAATTGTATAAAAATGTTACAATTACATACTGTTTTGCACCAAAACTCAACGACTTATAAAGTCTTAAATAAATAAATATAATATATGAATAAAGTTACCATCAAATCAGGATTGACATTTCAATATACAATGTATGATTTATAATGTATTTAATACAACCCTTCATTTAGACTTGAATGGAACATTGAACTTAAAAAAATATTTTAAAGACGATGTATATGAATAAGAACAAATAAATAATAAATGCAAAATCACTTTTAAATAGAAATTAACTTAATTGAAGAGTCTTTCCATATAATTCATTTAGCATTTTGGGTAAAGGTTCAGAAATAGTTAGTTTATCAAAGTAATTATTTAATTGTTGTTTTAACATTGTACCGTTTAAACTAAAATTTCCTTTTGGGTTTTCTAAAAGAATAGTACCTTTTCCCAAACTACTATTGATATTAACGAATTCACAAACTGGTTGCTTTAATACTGTAGGTGTTTGATCCATAGCTGAGCCTGGTTTTGTTACTTTTATTGTTTGTTTGTGCAGTGAAGAAATATTTGTTATTTCCGACATCAGTTTATTATTGACGTATAAGTCGTAGGGATAATCGTAAATGCCGAATATTAATTCAATTTCGTGTTTTAATTGTTCATAAGAAATAGGAACTAATGAATTGGGAACTTCTAAGAGCACGGTTCCTATGCAACTAGTTGCACCAAATCTCGGCTGGATACCTATAAGCTCGATATTTACATATTTTAACAAAGGTTCTACATTTATTATATTATTTTCAACTTGATCCATTTTAGTTTTCACCAATGCAAGTTTCATGTCAATGCCTTTAATTTTTTGCATCTCTTCTATGATTACACTTGCATTACTTGGCATTTTCAACATATCTTCTTGTGGAGTTTTAGTTGCACTCTCAATAAAGTCTTTGTGACTAACAATTACTTTTGCTAAATTAGTATTTTGGTCTTGTATTTCATAATATGCAATTGCCTCATCTGATGGAATTAATTGAGCTTTCTTTCTTAACTTTTGAATTCTATTAATTACTTCTCTTGCCACTCCTTCATTATGCATACTTTCATCAGGTGTAACATCCAGCAAAATTAAAACATTACCTTCACTATGAGCTTCATATTGTTTAGATAATTGTTCTGCTGCTGGACCAGTAAAACTGAACATCAATCGCAAATCTTGTTCTTTCAATTTATGACCCTGTACAATAATTTCTTTCTGTGTAACAAACATTTGCAGTTGTTCATCAGAAAGTTCTTTAATAGCTTGTGTAACAGACTTAAATTCTCCTTTAAGACGTGCTCCAAGTACTTTATGATCTGGTTCTGCTCTTAATTTAACACCATATTTTTCCTTGTTTGTAGTGACTGTTAATTCTTTTACATTAAGTTCCTCAAGAATATATGATTTCAGAGATTCTATTTTTTCCAACACTTCAGCATCTTGATGAATTACTACAACTTCTGGCAATGGATATTTAACAGGAATTGTTTTCCTATCCCTTACAACACGTCCTAATTCAATTACAGTCTGCATGTAAGACACAGCTTTTTCAATTTTTTCATCTATTAATTGTAAACTAGGCTCTGGTATCATTTGATAATGTACACTGTCCATATTAGCCTTAGATAGTGGAAGTACTTTTACCAAACGTTGAAACATAAATTCCGTTAAAAATGGTATAAATGGTGCATTCACACGTACCATTGTGTAAAGGACAGAAAATAAAGTGCTTAGTGCTTCTTGGCAATCACTTGCACCACCATCTCCTTTTATACGTTTTCTATTCATTCTTACATACCAATTAGTAAGATTATCTATATACTTTACCAGGTGAGGTACTACAGTGTATAACTTGTAAGCTTGCATTTCTCGTTTAACAAGTTGCAATAATGTTTGTGTAAAAGATAAGATCCATCTATCCATTATATTACTAGAATATAGATTCTTTGAGTCATCATATATAAAAGTAATTTTCTCTTCTCTTTGAAATCTTTCAATATTTTGCATTAAAAATCTAAATGCATTATACCAAGGCAAGAACATATCTTTTATAACATCCCTAACTCCTTCTTCTTTAAAACGGAGATTTTCAGCTCTTACAACAGGAGAATTAATTAAGTACAAGCGTAGAGCATCTGCTCCATACTTACTAACAATTTCCATGGGATCTGGATAATTCTTTTTACGTTTGGACATTTTTTGGCCGTCAGATGCAAGTATCAAACCATTAGCAACAAGATTTTTAAATGAAGATTTCCCAAAAAGAGCTGTTGATATAACTAAAAGAGTATAAAACCAACCTCGAGTTTGATCAATTCCTTCCCCAATAAAATCAGCCGGAAAATTTTCTTCAAATTCTTTTCGATGTTCAAAAGGATAATGCATTTGTGCATATGGCATTGAGCCAGATTCAAACCAGCAATCAAACACTTCGGGTATACGTCGTAGCGGTGGGTATCCCGATCGGTTTGATGGTATAGTTAAATGATCTATATTTTCCCTATGAATATCTGTTATTTTTGTGTTAGTCAATTCTTCCAATTCTGCAATGCTTCCTACACATACAATTTCTTGTCCATCTTCTGAAATCCATAAAGGAATTGGATTACCCCAATAACGATTTCTACTAATAGCCCAATCGCGAGCATCTCGTAGCCAATTACCAAATCGTTTTTCTTTAACATAATCTGGTACCCAATAAGTATTACTATTTGCTGTAACAAGTTTATCTTTTATGGCTTCTACTCTAACAAACCATGAAGGTACAGCTTTATATATTAATGGAGTATCAGATCTCCAACAATATGGATAACTATGTTTAGTAGTACCATGATAAATTAATCTTTTATTTGTCTGAAGGTATTTAATAATCTCTTTGTCAGCATCTTTTACATACTTTCCAACAAAATCATGTACTGGTTCCAAGAATTTTCCACAGCTATCAATAGGACATACAATTTCTTGATCTCTTGTTATAATACCAGCTTCCAAACAACACCGATAATCATCTTCTCCAAAATAAGGTGCTTGATGAACTATACCTGTACCAGTTTCTGATGTAACATATGTATCATTTAATACTACAAAAGCACCCTTTTCTCTTAGATTTTGAAAATATGGGAAAGGTGGAACATATATCTTTCCTTTTAAATCTTGTCCTTTTCTTTTACCATGTATGGTATATAAATCTTTAGATTTGTATATGAGTTCTAAACTTGATTCTAATATAATATAAACATTGTCTGAAGCATGATCTTTAACTTCTACATACTCAAAGTCAGGATTACAACAAAGTGCCATATTGCTAGGTAGTGTCCAAGGAGTTGTAGTCCAAGCCAATATGGAAACATTTGGCTCATCCACTAAAGGAAATGACACAATTATAGATGGATCAACAACATCTTTGTAATTCTGTCCAGATTCAAAATTAGACAAAGGTGTATTACAACCCGTAGAGTAAGGCATTACTTTAACACCTTGGTACACAAGACCTTTATTATATAGTTCTTTAAAAATCCACCAGATAGATTCCATATACCAAGGATACAATGTTTTGTAATCATTTTTAAAATCAATCCATCTGCCAATTCTACTTACAATTATTTCCCATTCTGTTGCATATTTCATTACAATATTTCTACACTCTTTATTATAATTTGCTATTCCCATTTTAGCAACATCATCAGGACCTTTTATATCCAAAATTTTATCTATTTCAAATTCGACAGGTAAACCATGGGTGTCCCAACCGAATCTTCTTTCCACATGATAACCAGATTGATAAGCATACCTTGTTACAATGTCTTTTATTGTGCCTGCAAGTATGTGTCCATAATGAGGTAATCCTGTAGCAAACGGTGGACCATCGTAAAACGAATATTTTGGTTTTCCTTTTGATAACTTCATACAATTTTGAAAAACATTTAACTTTTTCCACAATTCTAAAGTAAATTCCTCTTCTTTTGGAAAATTAATCGTTTCCGGAAGTTTTTCCTTCATTTTTGTAGAAATTTCAACAACGACTTCACAAATTATTTGGTACCGGCTGGTATAATGATGCAATTATCAGATACGAGCTATCAATATATCAGGGAATATACGTTGTCTAGTAACACGTAACAAAATTTTAGAGGTTAGCACTACGTACGAAAGCACGTGTATCTAGAAAGGTGAACATTCAAGTTGAGAACCCAAATGAATCATACTGTTTTGCGAAATATGAAGAAAAAAGTACATAATTGATAAGAAGCTTAAGAATATTTTTCATTACATTTCTTCCAACGCTTTTTTTTCAATTGCAATACAATCCTAACAAGGTTGAAAATGTATTTAAAATTTCATTTGATTAAAAATTTATGTATTTTTTTGTACAGTATACAAATAAAACAGTACAAATTTTTAAAAATTTTTAATTTTTATCTAAAATAATATTGCTTATTTGCATTAATGCAAAAATTAAAAGCATTTTTGACTAGAACTTCCATTATATTTGGCTTTTTCACATATGTAAAATAAAACATTCACGATTGTTGAGTAACTTATGATATTCTTTGCCGTTGTCCACCTACATAAATAACCTGTTTTTGTTCATCCGGGTGAATAAGTTCATCCGTATGTTTCCAACGCCACTTTTTTTCACTTTCTTTGACACGTCTACGATCGACGTAACTAATAACACAACTCGTCGGAATCCAAACAATGGCAGTAATAATTATGACAGCACCTACTATATTATCTTTCAAAAATCGCATAACTTTGTTGATGTTTATGTCCTCTATAATATCCCAAAATCGTTCTACTACGTCTTGAATAGTTTTCTCACAAATCCCCTGAAAATATTTATTTAATTTTTACAGTTGTGTATACAGTATGTAATGAAATCTTTTGAATAATATTACCTTGTTACAAAAGCCTTGAATACATGGTGTTCCATCAGGTAAAATATCTTGTGGATCTATTGGAAAACATGTTTCATTTAAACTCATTCTGCAACACCTTTTACATGCATCTCCAACTGTGAATAAAAGTAGTGTAAATATACGTTGCCTTTAATTTATTGCGTATATATATATAACAGTACATAAGAACCATACTTGTATCACACATGCAACTCTGTAAACCTTGTGTCTCACAATATGGTACACATTTTCCGAGTCTACATTGACCTCTTTCGAGGCAACCTGTACCATCCTTCATTGGTGGAGATCTAGGGCATTCGCTAGATGCTCCTGTGCAACGTGATTCTTGTTCACATGTAGCATATTGTGCATCGCGACACTTCACACCTAATGGCATGAATGCACAGCCTTGACAACAGGGTGAATTTTTATCGCTGAAGAAATTTATAATATTTTCATAAACATTTCGAAGACATATTTAATTTACAAGGAACAACCTACAAAAAATTTTCCAGTAAATGCATAGTTACCTACAAACTGCTCCTTGACTTCTACGGAGTTTACAATTTTTATCACAACAAGCATCATTATCTTCTGTACCGAGTAATCCTGCATCACATTCTTCATCTCCTTCAACCCGTAAGTTCCCACAAAATGATTCTTCCGGTTCAGAAAAACAACGACCCGATTTTGCTTGTAATACTTTTCTAATGGATCTTAAACTACACGGTGAAAAACGCTAACCCATAAATAATTAACAATAAGTATTGTTTTAGCATTATTATTTTTTTTTTATGTTGATTAAATGTACCTTATTATTCACATCATATCCACTAACACTATATGTGTACATTAAATATGAACCTCCTTGACTAGCACTTGGACTGCATTCCTGTTAAAAAATTTTATTTGTTTAAAGCATTAAAAGTGAACTATTGAAAGCTGAAAGATTTTTTGACAGATTGTGCAATAAAACTAATGAAAGTTAAAAAAAATTACTGTTATATCTGGATCATGTTCAGAACCCCAATTGTGTCCAAATTCATGTGCAGTAACTAAATCAGCTTCCCTTGTAATTACTCTTTGCCCATAATGATTTCTACTAGAACTTAGACCTGAATTGAGATACAATGTATAGCCATTCTTGAAATACTCTAGAATACAGGGGTATTAAATAGAATATTATGATTTACTGTTTGCACACTGATAATAAATTTTATTAATATACCTGGTGTGCAGATTCCACCTACTGAATTCCTACGAGGTGATCCAACATAGGCTAATCCTAATATACCACCTTCGAATTTGAGATCAGTGAATAAATGAGCTAAACAAAAATCCTTGTGACTATATTCTCGACTAAAAACCTAAATATCACTTATGTAAGTTAGTCAATTATGAATTCAAAATTACAAAATTTTATATAAATATAAGAAAAATGTAATTTTACCTCAAGCAACGTGCGTACATCCCACTTTTCCCTAACCATGTTATAATGTGTTTCACCACCTCTTACACGAGTTGGTTCACTGTGAACTACGATTTTTTTAATAACAAAACCCATTCCTTTAAATCCATCTTGTTCTTGGCGTTCTTGCCATAAAGTATCATTGTAAATTTTATGTACTCTATCAATTAAACTTATCTACAGAGGAAAACAAAATTAGTATTCCAAGAAATAAAATCAGTTGAAAATTCTATTTACCAAATAATTAATTGTAGTTTTTGTACTGCTAGCACCCATTTCTTGGTAAAAACGATAGTCAGCAACTAATAATAAGGGACATCTTGTTTTTGTTGGAGTATATTCATACGTTTCCGTTTGTCTTTTTATTCTGGAATGTTCATTTGATTTGAGATCAGATTGTCCTTTAATTCGTTCTTTTTCGTCATTTATTGAAATATCTGTAATATAAACCTTATATAAAGATAATACTCTTAAATAACTTTTCATGTAAGGAAATAAATGAACCTAATTCTTCTTTCACATATCCACAAGTTTTGGGAACACCATGTGTATGGCCTTCTCCATCTTGAAAATGTTCCCAACTGAACTTAACATCTGATGATTTATAAACAATCATTGTTTCATTTCCTAAATGTGGGAGGTGTCTCCATGATGGCTGAAGTAGATAAAGACTCAAGTAGATAGAAACTCAATTCTAGTAACTCATTATTTAAAAAATTATTTTAGTACCTCAATGTGAAATGTTTCATCAGAAATTGTAATACTGCCTGTAAGAATACCATTGTCAATATGTACTTGTGCATGAGAGTCAATTTCACCAAATACCCGTCCATGATAAAAACTTTCATGATCTTAAAAAACACAATACATTATTAATTGTCAAATAAGAATATGCTTTGTTCAGAAAATGTATATGTATGTAGTGATATTATTTTACCTAAATGTACAGTTTTTTCTTCTCCATCGCCATTAACTTCATATGCTTTGAATTTTGAATGAATAACTTCTCTTCTTGGTGTTAGAATTAATCGAAAATACCTATTAATAAAATAATGTACAATTGTTTATGCTATTTTTTCATTAATAGATAATGATACTTGAATGTATTACCGTCCATGGGAATAAAATTCTAATTCACTTATTTTATTGTAAGGATGATAACTGTGTTGAATACCCCTTTTTATAATTTTGTGTTGAAGCTGAGATATGTGAAGAGTTTCATAATACTTTACATTTCTATGAAGACCATCTATAAAAATACATTTAATAATTGACAAATTCTATGTAGTTGTGTAATATGAATTAGAAATTTAATGAAATAAACTTACAGGCGCTTAGTGTAGCGAAAAATATGAAGTATATTAGAAATATATTTCGACATTCCATATTTGTTAAAGGTTTTTCATATTACCAAATTTTATTTATTATTAAAGCATAAAAATTGTGCTTCATATTGTATGCATTTTCCTTTTTCCTTTTATTGTCGTAATCTTATATACATTTTCCAACCTTAATACTGATTGTGAATGTAAACTGTTTTTCCTTAAACCTAAAATACATAGAAATGTTGCTTAAGTTAAAAGCGTGTTCAGTGGTGACCAATTGCAACAAAAATAAATGTCCTTTC